CTATTTTGATTTTTTTTAATCAATATATACAATCTTACAATTTTTACTATTTTAATTTTTTTTAATCAATGTATATAATAAATAGAAAACACAAAAGACAAACATGCATACTACAAATTTTATTTTATTAAAAATTAGTTTTTTTAAAATTACATTATATATGTGAGCATTTAAAAAAACTTTACACTGACAGTGTATAGGTGATTAAATAATTTAAATATATATGTTTATTTTATTATAATATAACTTTTATTTTTTAAAATATAATTTTTGATATATATATATATATATATATGTGTGTGTGTGTAAAATGGTAGTAGGGACAACTGCCCCCACACTGTTGCATGTAACTGACTGTGTGTTAATCTTTTTTCCCTTACATATGAAACTAGAAAAAATTGATCACTGCTTAATTTTCTTTTATATCAAACTTTAAATTTTTATTCAAGTTGTTAGGGATTAATGATAATAATTTAGCTTATAAAATTTATGATAACATAAAGTGTTGTAGTAAAAAAAAAGGATATAAATAAATTCAATGTTTAAAAGTTAGATATTTAGTAAAAATTTGATTATAAAAATGTTTAATAAGATGTGAATTCAGGTATAATAAAAACGAGAATTGTGTTTTTTTTATTTTTGAGTAAAATTTAACATTTAATTTATATTTTTTATTTATTAAAATTACAATAACAATATCAAAATTCGAATTTAAAATCAGCTACGTTTTAGTTCTAGATTTCATTTGTGATGGTTTTGAATAAAAGACGAGAATCTGATATTTTTAATAGAAACCAGTTAGTAAATATTTAAACTTTGGAGTCTGGCAATTAATTACCGGTTAGCAGCTAGTACAGTGATGAGTGAAAGAAAACGTCAAAGTCACACAAAGTTTGATCAGTTGTCTGAAACTAATATTTAACCTCTCTTTCTAAATATTTGGAACGTCAAATTGAACTTTTTTAATTTTCATACATTGAATTAACTTTAACCCCAATTATCTAAATTTCAATGTTTTTTAATATATAATAGCAGTTTTAAAATCACAATTAACATGGCCATTGGGTCGAATTGCCTGTTTGCGACTGATTTTTATTTTGAAAACTAACAATGAATTCCTGGTCATCTTCCGGTCTATATAAGCGGTAAAGTTTCATTCATAATAGTATTATTATATAATTGAATAGTTTAGTTTTAATAAGTTTTAGTATATTTTTGTTTTTTCATCTTAAATATTTGAATTTTTATAGTTTAAATTAGTTTTTCATTTCTATTATTTTTTAATTCTTTTTTTTAATATTTTATAGCATTATTGCAATATTATGTTTTTAATCTCTATAATTTTATCCTACCTTTTATAAATATTATTTAGATTATTTATTTTATAATTAAATTAACTTTTCAAAAAAAAAAATTATCCACATACGAGAATGTACCAAAATTCCTCCATCTTTAAAAGTACAATAACAACTCCCTTAATATATAGGTTAGAAACCCTTAATCATACTTCAACTTTCACAAAAGTATGTTGAGCTTTCTATTTTGTATTAAAACATCAAGAGAATTTTCACAAGGATTTGTATAACATAAGTTTAATATAATCAACTAGTATAAACGTATTTGTATAAAGTTATCTAATATTTTCAAACAAAATCAGTTTAATAATACCAAAACTATATCAGATTAGAAATGTTAATAGAACAGGTGGAGGTAAGTAGTAGTCTAATGTCACCCATTTCGTTTAGTATATATATCCATAAATTCTTTATATATCTATAGAAATCAATGGATATCCATAAATATTTGATAAAAATGTAAGATTTTAAATTAAAAAGATAAAAAAAAATAAAACTAAAAATAAATGATTTTAAAATATAAATGTATATTAAAAAATAATTTTGTAACATATATTTTGTACTTAAAATAAATAATTATGAAACATAAATTTAACCAAAAATAAATTAAATTACCTATCTCATGCATCTTATCAACATAATTCCACATAATAACATGATTCATGCATATCATAACACACCACATAACAACATACTCATGTTCATTCACCATACTCACGCCTAACATCAAATTAGACAAATAATCTCTAAAGCACTTATGCCTAGCGTCACTCCTTTCACTAGTACAAAAATAGGATTTTACGTCAGAAAACCCAAAATACGACGTTAAAAATACGTGGTGGCATTGTCGTAAATAAAAGCTAACTCATTTACGTCAAACAGGAGGGGGTCCGACGTAAATTATACATTCTACGTCAGAGGGTAATTCTGTCTGACATAGATTGTATAATTTACGTCGGACCCCTTCCTTTCCGGCGTAAATGAGTGCTTATATTCCCTAACCTTTCAGTATCTTCCCCCGCGCGCCATTGTTTTCAAAATGTTCTTCTCTTATTATCTACGCCTTTGTTTGCACATTGCACGTTTCTAAGTCTCTAGGAGTCTTCACATTGCACGTTTGAGGTTAGTTCTTCTTTTATTCTCTACGCAATTTTTTTCTTCATTTTCAGTTGAATGTTCATCTGGAATGGCCCGTTCTCCAACCAGAACGGGCCGTTCTGCTTGATTGTTTTGTTTGTTAATTGTTGATCTGGAACGGGCCGTTCCAAACCCTGAACGAGCTGTTCCAGATAAACAATTAACACAGAAGTATTGCATCTGGAACGGGTCGTTCTGATTTTAGAACGGACTGTTCCAAACGCATAAATCTGTGTTAATTGTGTATCTAGAACGGCTCGTTCTAGTTTCAGTACGGGCCGTTCCAGATGCATTAAAGAAGGACTTTTTAGGCATTAATCTTAGGTTTCTGTTTGTGTATTATTTGTTTTTTTATTAGTTTTTTGTTGTTATATTATTTTTTTTTTTACTTTATTTGTCTATTCAGTTAATTCGTTGTTTTAATAATGAGTTTAATTTTTTCAGGATTATGGAAGATTCAGGATCTGGTAGTGGAAGGAGAGAAGGTAGATCTGTCACCCGATTGTCTGGGTTGACAGCTGGACGCATTGCTAAGGAGAGGACGCCGGAAGGCATCAGGCCCAAATGCTGCCAAGTTTAAGAGCTATTTGGGAGTCCTAGCTCGACGACATGTTTCTATTATCATTCCATCATGGGATGACGTTCAGGAGGCTGACAAGAACCTCATGTGGCAGGATATTCAAGTATATACTTTCACATCCCTTCAATATTATATAACTTAAATACATTATTTATTATTTGTTGTTATTTTCATAGCAAAATTTTGACATTCCTAACACTGAGGTCATGAGGAGGAAGATGTTATCTGCACTTGCTACCAGGTGGAGAGACTTCAAGACTTTCTTAACACAGGAGTATGTATTTGGAGACCGACAAAATGAGACTCTCTGTCTAAAGTACCAGATCACTTATGAGGAGTGGATTCAATTTCGTGCCACTCGATTGGATCCTTCTTGGCAGGTTAGTTATTGATAACTCTTACATTGACACAAATACTTAAGGTATATTTTAATTAATCTCATTTTCTTTTTTGTATTATTGCAGGCCAAAAGAATAGCTGCCCAAGAACGACAGAGCGAGAATGATGCACCCCATCTATTGTCAAGAGGGGGATATGAATTAAAAAATAAATAAATAATGAAGGCTAGGGCAGAGGCAGTAGGGGTTGAGTCTGCCGACCGTGTGGAGTCGCCTCCCCTCCATGAGATGTGGATAGCAGCCCGAACAAAATCAGATGGGCAAATGACTTCTGAGTCTGCAAGGGTCGTTACTGATAAAATAGTTTCCAAGCTTCGTAGATCTTGTATTTAATGCATTTGATCTTGCATTAAATGTTTGCTTGCCGAATTTGTGTTACGTGAAGTCTTTTGTACCGTTTGTTCACTTTTATGTCTGACTTCAATCATAACCTAGGTATATCTGTACTTTTTCTGGCATTGTAGCTGCAAAGGTGTTGT